AGAGAGAGAATAATATGAAGCCTAAAAGTAGCTGATGTAGTCATCAGTTCTCAATCCCAGCCTGATCCATGAAATTTCACAGTATACAATTTTACTTAATAAAATGAAGGTAATTTGTCCCAAAGGGATGGAAAAATGTGCAATAAACTAAACTAAAAGCCCCAAATTTCTAGAAAACACAATTATGCATTATATGTAAAACATTTTCAATGTCAGACTATTTTGCTCTACGAAATAATTGCACGTTTCTGAGATATTTTGACTACAAAAAATATGCATGAAAGTTTGCAGCTTTACAAATAACAATTATATGTCAAATGTATGTATAAATTTCTAAACTTCTGATAAACATGGTGACAATGTACAGACTAAGCTGTATTCATCTTCATGTATTGACTAATTTTGTCAAGCAATGAAAGATTTGAAAAAAAAAAAAATTAACATGGTTTTATTTAACCTTTTGCTGCAGTTACGATTACAATGATACAATGTCTTTCAACAATTATTAAAATAACTAAATATTCTGAAATTGAAAATAAGTTAATGAATTATTTTAGGTGTCACGTTATACACCTGAAATATTTAAATTATTAATAATTTAAAATTGGAGAAGAGTTGTGACTAAATTCAATTGAATATTTTTTATTTTCCTAGGTGTACCAAGTTTTAGATATAATTGTATGCAGAACGTGAAATATTTTAACAAAAATTACTCAAATATTTGTAGATAGTCACAATTGCTGTGTCTCAGCCTCTGTACAAAATTTTAAAATATATACCTTATCAATACTCAATGAGAAATATTGCTATTATATCTGATTCTGCTGATTTGATTTTTGAATGGAACAGATCTAAAATTAGAGATTTCATGTAGTATTAATAGGAGATTTGATGGAGTAGAGGAAGTAGGAAGAGAACGAAAATAAATCGTGCAACATTTGAAAACTAGAAATGAATATTTTCCTATAAACAAGGATCGGAGTAATTGATTCTCTTAATATATTGTACACTAAAACCGCATCCATAGGTTGGCAAAGGATGCTACTCGTATTATTTTATATTGAAAGATAAAACTAAATAAACAGAATTAAAATCATTAAATAAATTTATTATATTTGATACAAAGAGATGAAATGAATTAATGAATTCTCTAAGAGAAACTGTTATCAACAATGCTTCCTATCTTCAGAATTATAAGAATAGGCTCCAGTAATGCTAGACTCCAAAACATTTCATTCAGTTCACTCATGTGCCTGCATCTCTAATACAGAATCTTTTAGTCGAGCTTAATATAGCGTAACCTTGACGATTCATAGATACAATTGTAACCTATAGTGGAAATGTTAAACTCTTAGTTTTTATATACTTGTAATTGAATCCTGGAAGAAATCATTATTTCATTCGACAAATATAAATTTAAGCGAAAATAACAAGGAACCATTCTGGATACTCAAAATATTACATGAATCTACTAAAGGAATCGGAGAAGGAACAATGGAATGTAATATCCCTGAGAGAACTTCAGGTTACTGGAAGTTCCAAAATTCTCTTTAATTATAAAATAAAATGTGAGTGATTGCATCACTTAAATTGGTGACTATAGCAAAGAAAAATAATTTAACTACAAATGTGGGAAAACGTTGTAATGAATGATGGTGCAAATAAATGTCAACTTTTCTCACTTAACACACTACATTTTAATGTGAATGTTGGTGTGTAACACAGCACAGAAAAAAAAATAATATTGCGAGATTTTTTTAAATTCACAAGCACAGCACCAAAGGAATATACCATAAGGTGACATCAAATAGGACCTAGGGAGGTTTTCAGATCTGTGATGTCCAATTCAAATCACTAAACACACATCCAACATAAAGTGGCACATCATCTTGTAGTTCCCTGTTTTATAAACTCTGCATGTGCAATGTTTTCTGCCAATCTTAATGAATTAATCAGCAACTTCTGACAAACACACTTCAACACTTTGTATAAACAAATTTACTGTATATAACTACAAATGTACTTCAAACTTTTTCCAAACTAGGCAATGGATTTAGACACATTTGTGTTTCGCAAATTGCTAAACTTGTAAAGAATCCTAAATTCTACGTTATATTAGAGATTTTATTTGAGAAGACTATAAAGAACAATTACCTTACAACATAACATTTTACCGCTTACCTCTGTGTCAATTGACGTCATGGCAAGAAATTGTGCTTGCCGCAGATACTCATCATATTATTACGTCATTTCTATTGATGATACAGAACAACAGAGCATCACAGAGCCCGCGTCCCGCGATCTGTGAAGTACTATACGGTACTATGCACGAAGGCAGTACTCTTCAAGGAAGGTTGGGTAACATTACCATACTAAAGGTCGCAAATACCATGCCCTCAGCGTCCACAAATGCGTTCTAGCGGGAACCATTGAGAAAGTAATAATAAAGTAATTGGGTGTGTATAGGCCCCACGTACGTCCTCTCCAATGTCAATGTTGTCCAACCTCAATGGGTTGGTAAGTATTGATAATCAAACACCGGTACGTTACATATGATCATTATCTCAATGTATAAATCGATCGTGGCAACTGGAAGACACGTATCCATAGGTTTATGGTTGATAGAGACGGGAGTCGAAACAGTCGAACGCCAGTCCTGTGTAATACTAGCTCTTCCTTAATTCTTGTCAGTGCTGATAAGACATCTCGCGTCATTCGTAGTCGACTTCTTACGCGTGACCACACCAGGGCGACCAAGAGTAGCACCCTCGAGCTTTGTCTCCCGTTTTAATGGAGAGTTGCAAGTCCCTACGCGTGACTCTTCAATACTTTCTTCTGGTAATCAAAATTGAAACGGAGCAGCTGTTTGAACGAGCTCAATTATGCCCGCGTCGCGTTTTCATTATTGACGCATTCGTACATTAAATCTTGTTTGTTACTCTGGTAAAAACCTATATTCAGCTAAATGCTCGGAACTCAGAACGGAGGAAGGGTCGGAACACACGAACATAAGTAGAAATTTGTATGTATTTAAGAAAACATGTTTTCTTCAAACTTGCACTATCACTTAGCTGGCAAATTGTTGTGAAATGCTGACGTTCGATGTGATTGCGACATATTTTTGGTCACCGCGACGCCTAATTGAAATATGCATTTCTAAAAAAAAAAAAAAAAATACAGTACGAAGGTATAACCTTCGCGATATACATTCTTTTACTGATTTAAACGAGTTTATAACTAGTTTTAAAAGACGGAAACATTTGGAGTACGTATGTTTAAAAGATGGAAGTGTGAGTTCTCACTAAAGAAAGAGAAGTAAAGAAAAGTTCGACTGGATTTGAGAATGGCGCAACTGTTGTAGACTTCGAAATGCGGCGTGGGACCTTTCCGTTCGTCTTCAGGCTGACCACACCCAAAACTTTTCATGCAGTCGCGGTCAGGTTGAGAAGCGGCGTCCGTAATGATATGAGCAAGAGAATGTGCCGAGTTCAGAGCTTTTAGTTGGCGTTCTGCCAGCCCCTGATATTGTGCTTTAGAATCCGGACCTCGCGCTGTCGTACACTCCAGCCAAATTGCTACCACTGTTCAAATTACACAAATTGTGTGGGACAGTTCGTGACCAAGTTGTCTGAGCTTGATAGAGGTAACTCTCTAGGATTGGATGTCATAAAGCATTCATGTTAAAATTCCGTAGACATGCAGTAAATGGCCATGAACAATCAGAGATAGAAAGTAACGCAGAGATATGCGGTGCGAGTTAAATACAGTTTAACAACAATTCAGTTGCAGTGCAGGCCAGAGAAGCATGCCCTTCGAGTAATTAATTTACTCTTTTGTCATGCTTCATCGTAGTAACTAAACATTTGATATAGTGGGAAGTTATGTTAAGTAAACATTTAGAAAGTAGAATTGAAGTTTATTTTGGAATTTTGCCCACAAAACGTTACAACTGCCCACAATACGTATGCCGAAAGATGACCCGTGTTGTGGTGGATATGTGAAGTTCTAAAATAAATTTCCACAAATTTAAGTCCAGTCACTTCTAATTTGTTTAAAGATACCAGAATTATTTCTGGATTATAACTTGCCAAAGAATGAGCCTAGCCCCGAATTCTGAGTCATGCTTTGTTTTGCGAGTCTGCTCGTGCACTCACGCAAAAGTCTTGTGACGAGCGCAGGCAGGTGATCGCGTTCTTTCAATAAATACGGTGGTTTCTTTCTTTCCCGCTTCCTCTTTGATCTAGCCACAGGAAACATGGGCAAGGTCTGCGGGAAGTTTTCTGAAAAAACGGGAAGTAATTAAATGTATCTCCCCCGCGCTTGTTTTCCGCTGCGGGGAGAATTGTGTTCCGAAGTGCATCAGCGGCGGTCCCTTTCCGCCCCCCTCTTCCCAGCCGCGGTTCGTTAGCGGCAACTGTTTTGAAGGATTTTTCTCCGTGCATGCGTAATCAGCGTCAATCGATGGCCCAAATAGCCAGCTTCGCGGCGCGGGATATATGCGTTGCCGAGGCCGGCGCGCTTCGCAATGGGTCAAGTTCAAACGCCGCCGCAGCCGCGACGCAGGTTTCGCGTTGTGCGTTGTTTACTTGGAAACTTGGCGTAGGGGCGGGGGCACAATATTCGATGTCGGGGGGAAGGATAAGTACGGGGTTACTTTATAGGGGGGGGAGGGGCTTCCCGAGAAGGGGAGAAAAGGCCGTGAGTGGAACTGGCGCGCGTGTCGGAGGGGGAAGAGGGACGAGATGTAGGATGCAGAATGCAGGCATATCGGATGCGGCGGTGCACACTGCAAACATTCGCCGCCTCAGCTGTGTCTCTACTACTCGACTTTCCAACATGAATAAAGAGCGCGCGCACGCGGGCGCTGTGAGGATTAGGAAAATGAGTAAACGCCCACGCGAAGAGTGGTGGAACATTAATCCGAAAAATAAACTACAAAGGCGTGTTCATGAATGGAGGTGTTGGAAAAATGAGACTAGTGAAGCTTATGTTTGCAAGCCAAGTATTCGGTCATCTCCAAATTTAACGTTCTTTTACCTTTGTTTCTGTTAACCATAATCCTATTGTTTTGTTGAATGTGTATTTTTCTTTCTGACCTTGGATTCGGGGCAAAAAAATGTTATTGGAAAGGAAATCACAAATGAACGTGAAATTGTGTTGGTTTAATGATTACTCTAAATTAATGTTTCAATATTGAAAGTGAGGCTGAACATATTGCATTTATAGGCATTCCCTCTTTTGTAACTGTTACTAAATTGTGACGCCTAGTTCTTTGGTTTTCTTTCGTTGATCAGCTACTAATTTAAGCTGATTTGCTGAGCTTACTGCTTCCATAAAGAAAGAGTTTCTTGCTGTTTCCATTTCAGCCGCTTCTTGCATTGCATTACTTTTAAATGTCTCTTAAGTGTTCAGTTAATACTCTTATCAGTTGAAATTTCCATCCTTTTGCGGTGATTTTAAGAAATTTATGTATGCTTTTTTTCCTTTGTCTTTTATTTTTCTTCTGGCTTCGTTCGAGAACTTTTCCACAGGTTCCGTTTCGCTTCTAGGAACGTAGATAATGGACAGAAATAGTAATAAATGGTCAGGGTGTGAGTGAACAGGCAAACTGAACAATTATTTTCGAAATTCCAATTATTGATTAAGCATTTGATTGTATTAATTACAATTATATATTATCTACATTTTTCGATCTGTAATTGATTCGATCGGGACAACAGCCTACACCCATATTTCACTTATACAAAGATTAATTTCTTAGAATTTCTCTGAAAACCATAAACCTCTTAATTAAAAACCTGCACAAAGGTGTTGATAGAACGGACGAATGAGTAGAGAAAGCTGCGAGGAATGTGTATACTCGCTGAGAA